GCACACACACGCACAGCCTGCCGGCTGCACCAGTGAGCAGGGCAGCGTGGATGCGCTTTCGGGGTGGGCCCACTGGCTTCTCCCCACCTGCGGGGAGCAGGGCAGCACCTGGGGAACCTGGGGAACCTGGGGGTGAGGCTGGGCTCAGAGCCGGACCTGACCTCCCAGGTTGCACAGTGATGGGGACCACCCCATGCAGAGCCAGCTCCACCCGCAGGGACAGGGCCCCCTGGAGAACATGAATAGACGCCTGGTCCCTGGGCCGTGAAATGGGGTGCACACCACCCCCACCCCCACCCATGCAGTGGTTTTATGATTAAACTAGAGGCCTGGTGCATGAAATCCGTGCACGGGTAGGGTCCCTAGGCCTGGCCAGCGATTCCTTCATTCTGCCCCACCCCACCCCGCCTCCAGTGGTCAGCACACCTCATAGCGAGGGTCGGACTCCCGGTCGGTTGAAGTCCCTAGGGGACAATTTGCATATTAGCCTTTTATTATATAGGATGGCTCCCCCGCGTGAATACTCGGTAAAGCAAAGCTAGCTCTTCTGCACCTGGGTCTCCTCCCCTCCCCCACCCCCCACTGACTTGGGCACGAATCCCTCAAGAGCGAGGCCTTGGACAGGTCCCCTTACACCCAGGTGCAGGCTCCTGACACAGAAACACCTCTGATCCTCAGCCCCAAAGTCACCACCACCTGCCCGATACTGTAGGAAGGAGATACCTGGTTGGCAGAGAGGTGGTGGTGGTGGGGGGGGGGAGGCTTGGCTTGTGCCTGGCTGGGGTCCTGGGCTCCTCGTTAGAAGTGACTCCTTTCACTCCTAACAGGGACGGTAAAGTACACGACTACCCTCCCTGGAGGGACCGTCCCAGACTTGGGTTCCCAGGCCCACGGGCCGGTGCTGGCTGACTTTTTTGCAGGCTCATCAGCCGATAGAGCGATGTTAACAGTTTCTCTGCTTCCATTGCCTTGAGGTGGCTGCCAGGAGAGGGGCGGTGCCAGGTGCCGGGGCCCAGGAGGCAAGGACAGGGAAGGGGACTGACATTTACTCTGATTTCCTCACTTCCCTATAAGTCAGGCGTCTCCTAGAGACGGAATAGGGACCTTGGTCCATAGAGACGGAATAGAGACCTTGGTCCATAGAGACAGAATGGACACCTCCATCCATTGAGGTGGAATGGACACCTCCATCTCCATGGAGACCCCGGTCCATAGAGATGAGGAAACTGAGGCTCGAGATGCACTGGATTGCCCCTGCTACAAAAGGGCAAAGTGCGGATTCGAACTCAGATCTCAGGGCCGAGTGCCCAGCATGGGATCTGCTATGGAGGGTCAGTTCCTCCCTCCCTGCCCCCCTCCCACGGGCCTTGCCGTTGGGGAAATCTAGAGAAAATGCTGAGCTCCTTGTCTGCCCAAACCCACAGCAGCTGGGTGCTGTCCGGGTGCAGCTGGGTGCTGTGTCAGACGGGTCGTTGTGGCCGGAGGCAGTGACGCGCCCCACAGAGGGGCTGTGGTGGCACAGGGGTCTCCTCTGTGGACTCGGGGAGGACGCCCCCTCCCCTCTCCCCCTCCCCGGTCTCACCGCCTGCATCTCCAGGCACAGGGCCAGACCCAGAGCAGGGACTTAGCAAATAGTATTTGTTGCACAAGTGGACGCGTGGGTTCTCTGTTCTAGAGGTTGTCTGCAGAGTCCCCCAAACCTTTGCTGGACTCAGGGCCCCAGAGTGGAGAAGTCCCTCAGCTCTGTGATCTTCATCAGAAAAGGCTCCTTCCAGCCCTGGCTGGTGTGGCTCAGTGGATAGAGCGTTGGCCTGAAGACCAAAGGGTCCCAGGTTCGATTCCGGTCAAGGGCACATACCATGGTTGCAGGCTTCTCCCTGGCCCGGGGCCCTGGTCAGGGCTCATGCAGGAGGCAACCAATCAATGTCTATCTCTCTGTCTTTCCCTCTCTCTTCCACTCCCTAAAAATCAATGGAAAAAGATCCTCGAGTGAGGATTAAAAAAAAATAAAAAAGAAAAGGCTCCTTCCACAGGCAGACAATAAGAGTGATTGTTGCTGTTGTTGTTGTTTTTAAATGTTTTTCTTGATTTCAGAGAGGAAGGGAGAGGGATAGAGAGAGATAGAAACATCAATGATGCCCTAACCGGTTTGGCTCAGTGGATAGAGCATCAGCCTGTGGACTCAAGGGTCCCAGGTTCGATTCCAGTCAAGGGCATGTACCTTGGTTGCGGGCATATCCCCAGTAGGGAGTGTGCAGGAGGCAGCTGATCGATGTTTCTCTCTCATCGATGTTTCTAACTCTCTATCCCTCTTCCTTCCTCTCTGTAAAAAAACAATAAAATATATTTAAAAAAAAAAAAAGAAAAAAACATCAATGATGAGAGAGAATCATTGATCGGCTGTCTCCTGCACGCCCCCTACTGGGAATCGAGCCTGCAACCAGGGCATGTGCCCTGCTAGGCAATTGAACCCTGACCTCCTGGTTCATAGGTTGACGCTCAACCACTGAGCCACACCGGCCGGGCAAGAGGGATTCTTTATATCCGCTGAGGGCTTTACAAGGAGCTGAGCTCCTTCACCTGAGTTACAACCTAGGACTTTCATCCCCATTTTCAGATGGGGAGACTGAGGCACAGAAGTGACTTTGAAATGACATTGCTCAGTCACTTGTAAGTGGCAGCTTAGACTGGAGGCTGAGCTGCCCGACTTTCCAACAGGGGGTTGGGGGTGAACCCTGAGCTCTGTTCCCTCGGGCCCCCTTCCACAAGACCCCCACTTCACGCTGAATAGTTTAGTGACCCAGTGGTTCTCAACCTTCTGGCCCTTTAAATACAGTTCCTCATGTTGTGACCCAACCATAAAATTATTTTCGTGGCTACTTCATAACGGTAATGTTGCTACTGTGATGAATCGTCATGTCAATATCTGATATGGCCCTAGCCGGTTTGGCTCAGTGGATAGAGCGTC